GGGGGGGGGGGGGGGGTCGAAGATTGAAGAAGGCCCGTCTTCGTGGCCGCTGGATGTAAACAAGAAGTTGGACGAGTAGCGCAAGAACTATACGTCCCAAGTGGAGAGCTCAACTCTGAGGACGTGTAGCTAAGCGTTGGTCTTATTTTTCCGCCTGATGTTGCAGGTTTTCCGACTGTACTCTCTCTGGTGGGCGTGTAGAATGTAGAGCCTGCGGCAAGGTGTAGGCACGTGGTGCCTGGAAGCGGGCAGATTCCTTGAAATGGCCTCACGGCTCACTTGATGTAGGAAGCCATGGTTGCTGAACGAAAACGATTACCAGTTGTTGATTGAAGTCGGTGTAATCGTAGCAGTACGAAGTGAGGCTCTCTGGACACGAACCTACAACAGAGGTATTCACACGGTGTGCTTGCTGTACACTCACGAAGGAAGCACTTGTCCAGTCTACTGCCTGCCCCTCGGCTCTCCCGCGAACGAACGAACCAAAGGTGCTGGTGGGAAGGCTGGTGGACATGGGCTTCTCCAGGCCTCAAGCGGAGGACGCCTTGATGAAGAGCGGGGGTGACCCGGACTTGGCGGCAGAGCAGCTCATGACACAGGTATGGCAACTCATGACAAAGGTATAGTAGGTGTGGGAGCAACAACGATAATAATAATACGCGCGCGTGTGTCTGTTGTGCGTGCCTGTTTTGTTCGAGCAGCCTGGTCACGGGGACTGCCAACGCAAAGAAAGTATTGTTATTCGAAAAATGACCACGCAGGGGCACGCAGACTACCCAGCTCCAACTCAGCTGATTCTATACTTCATCCATTATGTTTGCATACTTGGAAGGCACCTGCGTAGATCTACTGGGTCACAGTCTCGACGAAGTCGCCCGTTCTGGTGCTGCCATCTCGTTAGTCTTGACTTGCAATCAGGCCGTCCTTGTAGTTAGTCTATAGCTGGTATCCTCGCAACCTTCAAGTGGCCAAGTAAATGGAATAGTACGAGGCGGGACTGCGCTATGTTTGTATGTAGTTAGTTATCCTCGACTGCGCTTACCAAATGACGAACGGGAATACGCCAGCCTCAGTGCGGCTGTGTGTGTGCGTCTTAGACTAGAACCCCCCCCCGACGCGCATTTACGACCCATTCGAATAAAGAGGGAGACAGTTGACGCTGTTTTCCACTCTGGCAAACACAGCTGTCTGTTGCCCTGTCTGGCATCTGACACCCTGTTGCCCTCACCACTCTCCTCCCCCTGACGCCGGACACACCCACCTAACTGCCATCACCCCCACTTGTGTTGCTGTCTTGTGGTGTTGCAGGGGTCTGATACCACGGCTAGCAACGGCAGAGGAGGCGGCGGCGGCGGCGGTGGGTCGCGAGGCGCCCCCCCTGTCCCTCCCCCCCGTGCACGGACCAACCGTGGCCTCCCCGACAACTTCTCCAGGCAGAGCGGACACCCGGCCACCTCCACCTCCTCGGGAGCGAGCAGGTACCGTACAGTAGTACCAGAACACCGTACCGCGGTATGTATGCATGTGTGTGTGTGTGTTTTTGCGGTACGCGGGGGTATGTATCCAGTTTTTTGCGGTGTAGGCACACGTACCTCCACTTCCTAGGGAGCGAGCACGTAATTCGAAGTATCATACAGCAGTCTGTGGTGTGGTGTTATGTGCACGTGGAGTTTTTCTTTCGCTGCACGCGGTGTGGTATGCATTTATCCAGAGTTTTTTTTTTTGCGGTGTGGGTGCAAGTGCTTGCATGAGCTCCGGTGTTCGTAGAATCGGTGTGCTTTTGACTTGTGGGTTTCTGTGCACGGTCGTCGTCATCATCGTAATTGATGCGTCGTTTCATGTTCGACACTGAGATTTGTGCGGACCTAGGGTTGTAGGTTTGCCCTCAGGGAAAGATAATGCAGAAATTCCACAACCCGTCCTCCGTGCCAAACAAGGGTCCCCCCAACGCACTCGTTGGAACAGGTCAACCCACTTCTTCGGCGGAGGAGGAGGCGGCGGAGGGGCAGCCTCAGCATCGGCCTCCGACTTCAACTCGAGGAACAGCCAATCGCCGCCGCAGTCCGCCTCCATGCGGCGAGGATTAGAAGAAGGCGGTGGAAGCAACGACGACGGCGGATTGGCCGACTTTCTGGGGTCCCCGGCTGGCGGTTCGTCATCGGTGGGGGGCAGCGGTGGCGCCCGGAGAGTCGGGGATGAGGCCGATCGATACGGGCTGTTTCCTTCTTCGACGGGGGGTGCGGCGGCGGGAGGGGGCTCGCGGGTGGCCCAGTCGCGGTCGCGGTACGACGCCCTCTTCGGGGAAGAGGTGCGTGCAATGAGCGGTGCCCCCCCGCCGGTCCTTGACCTTTGACTTGCTCCACAATTCATGTGCTCCACAGACGAGAGTCTGGATAGATTCGCGATTCGTTCGCAGCGGTTTGTTGGTGTTTGTTGGCTCTCCGGGTACGGGAAAGAGCTACTCATTTATGTTGATGGTGTTTTGGTTGCCCGGTATCTGCGACGTGCTCCGTGCCTTGTTTTGTCGACATCTTTGTGGCCGAGACACTTTCAAGCGATGCCGCGCATTGTGACGGAGCAACCAATCGTTATCGTTTACCTGCTCCACCCCGATGTGGCTCCTTTGTTCTCCTCTGCAACAATGGCGACAACGGCAACGACAACGCCGCCGCCACCACCGCTGTGCCTTCACCACCACCACCGCCACCGCTGCTAACATCGCCTGCAATACTATCTCTGCTACTGCTGTGCCCCTGCTGTCGTCACTGCGACCAACATCGCCTAAAACAACACCTCCACTACTTTACCCGCGCCATCGTCACCGCAACCACCACCATCATCGACGACGATAACAGGAGACGAAGAGCAACGCCTCTACGAGGAGAAGCGACGGCACCATCAGAAGGAGAACGGACACATCTTCGCTCTTTGGAGAGGACGGCACCCGGTAGGACCGATAAAACACAAACACACCTTTTTTCTCTCGCGACAACGTCGCGGCCTTGCCCGAGCGGGGGACGGTGGAGGAGAGGGGGGCGGGATCGAGCGACGAGGGTGTAACCGCCAGTCTATCTCGAGAGTCCCAAGGGGGAGAGAAACCTTGCTGGCTTGCTTGTGACGAGTAGACCGAAACACGAGAGAGCGTTTTTATGTTTGGCCCGAGTAACTGTGTTGGGTTCAGGCGCTCTTGTTTTGGGCGTGTTGTAAGCGGGCGAGCGACAGACGACGGTTGATTTTTCGTCGTCTGGCAGCTATGGGTATCGTTTTGTTTTCGCTTTTGCTTTTTGGTTTTGCATCGTGTTTTGGGTCGGAGCAATCGCGTTGTCCTCTGATTTTGTGTGGGGTGGGGAAGACTACAGAAGGAATACTTGGCTCGGCAACTATCTACCCTATATTGGAAGTGGGAGGTTCGTGAGTGTTGTAGGTTGATGTACCGCGCCGCAGCTCCTTTGTAGTACCGCAGACGTTTGCATTTGACACGCCGGTATCGAGCGATTGACTGCCACTCTTCGTGATCAGTCACGAGAAACACGCTGGAGGGAGAAGGACATACAGTTCCAACGATTGTCCCGCCGATTTTAGTTGACCGGCCATAACTTCATCAATATTAACTTTTTTCATTTTTTTTTTTTTTAGTGTTGATCTCCGTCGCAAATGCCACAAGAGTTGTTCGGGGACCAAATCGATTTGAGACGTTCCTGAGAATTCGTGGTTTTCGTATAGGTTTTTCCAGGCGTTTTTTGGGAGGAGGGGATGAAACGTTTCGGCCAGTATCTCGCCAAACGCTGTCATAATCATGTCGTTTTTTTTTTGTTCTTGATTGCTAACGGCGGGGTTTGACCAGACGAACACGATGGCGCCCTAAAAAAATAAATACAAAGACTTTATTACTATATATACCCATTTAAAGAGGGGCACAAGAGATTGTACCCCCCTTTTCCGGTCGCAAAACTAGGTGGCAACGCGTGATGTTTGGTTGTTTTAGCTTCATCGTCGGGAAACCTCGCTATTTACACTCGTCTACTTTCACAATCGTACACAATACACGTTAGTCTACAGTATGTACATACATACAGTACAGTATGTACATACATACAGTAGTACATCACGCTCAATACCGATCTCATTGACCGGGAAACGCAGCCGGTCTGGGCGAAAAAAAAAACACAACGAACTCCCTGGAAAAAATGGCACCGACCGAAGCCAAACTCGAGGTCGTTCTTCCGAACCCCGTACATACGTACCGCCGCGATCATAGCATACACTACTTGGGGTTAATGTACTCGGATGGAGCTGGCTTACGGTGCGACTTGCATTTCTCTTGCGCCTCTACCGCCTCGGCGCCCGTAAGCCCGGCGTCGTACACCGCGTGGAAGTTGGCCACCTTCCTGCAGAACTTTTGAACAATGTCTAGGCTCAAGTTGTGTACCCCGTAGCTCTTAGAAACGTTCTCTCGCAAGCACGCGATAGTGTACTTGCAGTTCCTACGTACCCACCACTTAGATCTACCCCACACAAGCTCGATCGGGTTCAACTCGCAATGGAACTTTGGAAGCATGAGCGCAACCCCTCCGTGGCGCTTCAGCAGAACCTCTAGGCTAGAGTCGACGTTCGCAAAATCCTTTTGCGCGCGCAACACCGCCGGCATGCTCATCTTCTTGTTAGGCTCCTGGCCCGTCTTGCCCCCCGACATGGTCATACCTGGGATCCAAAGCCCCCTCTCAAACAGGATTTGCTTCATCCCCTTGACCTTGCCTACGTGATCGGTGGCGCCTGGCTCATAGAATGGATACTCTCCCTGCTGGAAGGTGAGGTGCTGCACCGCCCCTACCTTCAGTTTAGGTGTGTCTTCCAGTATGGTAGTTGCATTCTGAGGAGCTATCTCCTGACCCTTTCTCACCCCCCCGTACCCTGCGTTCATCCTAGTTACACTCGGTGCCCCCTCCTCAACGCAATCATGACACGATGACCAGTCGAAAAAACAGATGGGCCTGTGCCTCGGGAACTTGACGGCCAACAGATCCAACACATCCGCCATGTGCTCGATCATCTTCTCCCCCGTCCAGTAGCCCTCCTTGTTCTTGCCGTACTCGAACTTGTAGTACGTCGAGAACTTGCGGTCGTCGCCCTCGCCCTCGAAGTAGAGCATGTTGATGTCGCGGTACTTTTCCGGCCTGGTGTGATCACCTGCTGCGTGCTTTTCCTCCGAAATGCGGCAGCGCTCGCGCCGCAGATCTTGGGCCTTGTCGATGTCGTCTTGAGTGCCCTCGACGAATCCGACGTCGCCTACACACACACCCCTGTTGCTCTGGCGCTTGAGAAACGCCGGTCGCCAGTCCTGCTCATGTTTCTCCACCTCTTGCGCCGCATCCAACATCGCGCTGGAGAGGTCCCGCACTTCCAAGCGGCCGCAGGTCACCTGGCCAAGCTCGATTCGCTCTCTGTATCTATCCAACATTGCGCGCAACCTCTTCCGGCCGAAGGTTCCCTTCGGTCGGCCAGCCCCTTCGTATCCTGGGCGCTTTGGAGGTGGTGTGAGGATCTCAGCCGCAGGCTGACAGTCTCGCGGCCTTTTTCCCCGCGGCGGCGGGGGTGTGTCGTTGCTGCCACGCCTCGCATCTTCTGTGGAGAGAACGGCGCTGCCGCTAGAAGAAGATGGCCGCCAG